CAGGGAAATTTTTGTTCTGAAATTTCAGTTAAAAGAGCTGCAGAAGCAGAAAAAGCTGAGCCAGACTAGTAAAGAGTGGCTACCAAATACAAGTTGAGCAATTTTTTATTTTTAGACCAGTGCTTGTATGCTTTAGTAAACAGTTAAGCATGCTTTGATTAAACAGTTCTTTGTTTCAAAACAAAAATACCAGTCCAGTATTGCTCTAAAGATATCTTTCTTCTCCCATATAGTGTTCTGTTGTTTTCTCATCCCATCATGCACAGCTTTCTAATTACTAGTGGGGAGAGCATCCTGGTGGTAGAGCAAGTGAGTAGTCTGAAGTTGTGATATGATGGAAAGATTCAAATGTTTCAGTCAGAAGAAGGGAAGAAGAAAACCACAGGAATTAATTCCTGGGTGAGAAAACTGATTCTGCAAAAGACTGGGTAATTTCTTCGCTTGCATATAGTACACTTCCTGGTGTTGAGCTATTCACAATGCTGAACTCAAAGCCTTGTGACTGGAAAAAACTTTCTTCAAAAAAAAAGAGTCGTAGGGCCTCACAAAATTATAGAAATCCTTAAATTTAACTTACGAAGATGTTCTCTCTCTTAGTAGTCCACAGGAAGTAAGGTGTTTGTTTCCTTTGCCTCCATACCCAGACTCATTGAACTTAAGTTTAAAAAACAAAAAACAAACAAAAAGCCCCCCAAACCAACCACAAACCGACCCTAAAACTCAGAGGAGCTTCAGCTCCTGTAATTTACAACTCTGTTATGTTTAGTAGATTCTTGCCAGCTTCCTGCAGTGTAACTTAGGCTTGCAGGTGTCTCTGTGAGTGTGTCTTAGGGTGCTTGAAGGACAAGAATAAGTAAAGCTCTTGAATGAAAACTAACAAATAATGTAGATAAATGTCTTGTGTGGACATTGTTCTTCCTCTCCTTCGGATGCATTTCTCTTCTGGGTCTCAGCTGAGGGAGGCCCAGCTGGATTCAGTGGGATGAGTCCAGAGGTAGGGTAATGTGAATTGCAGTCATTTAAGAAAAAGCCAGTTGATAAGGCTCTGGATTTTAGTTACCTGCTGAGCACTTAAAGATTTTAAATGCAGTGGGGTTACAGCCCCTTGGAATTGTTTATAGTGTCCTTGCCATTAAGAAGAATACAGTAGTTGAACTTGTCTGTACTTGCTCAAAGGATTATGTGTTCTATGGGTAAGGTTAAGAACATGCATTATTCAGTGGAAGGCATTAACGCTTGAGAGAGATACTTCTAAGAAATTTATAATCAAAGCTTGGTCTGAGAAGGTAAGCAACAACATCATCGAAACAACTTATCAGAAATACATGTGCTCTGTCAGACACATCAATTTTGAGTCTGTAGGCAGTACTGAAATGAGAATTTTGTAAAGCTCTGCTGTGGCTTTTGTGGAGGAGAGTCAAGCCTTAACAAAAGTATGAGAAGTCTTTTGAAGGTATCTGCATGTGTGTGACTATTACATATCTTGTTAGCACAGTAAAAAGACTTTCTCCTGAACTGGGAAACAGTGGGTTGAGTTCTGTCATTTTTTGGTTAGTCTCCACGGAAACAGTGATTGGTAAACAGAATTGGTAAATGTACTTACGAAGAGATTGGGAAGGGAAGAGAAAGGTTGAACAATATTTTTCCTCCTCGTGCAGTATGGCCTTCTGACTTGTATACAATGTAAAGAAAAGACAGTTACTTCACATTTTATTATGGTATGCATATATAATCATGGAGTTGGAGGAGAAAGATCAATGAAATAAAAGTGAATGTGCTTTTAGAGATAACTTTTAAAGTGTCACTTGCCAAAAAAAAAAAAAACCACAACCTTTTCTTGTTACCAGGCAAAGAGGCAATAAAACAATTTTCTGGGTGTATTTAATTTCAAAGAAAAGTAGAAGTAAACCAGTTGTTGATACTAGGGAAAGTGGGAAATGCTGTGTGCCTGGATTATATCAAATGGATTTTAAATAGTAGTCTGTCCTTCCTATTTCTCTTTTTAAAGTAATAAATTGTTATTCCTTAGATAAAGGTTTTTCTTTTATTCTTCAGGATGCATTATTGGATGATGTTAAGGTGATAGAAAATCTGTCATGTAATCCATGCTATTTTCTGATTTTAAAAGCAATAGTTCAAGGCATACTAAAGATGACGTCTACTTATTTAGCAAAGGCAATTTCACTCCCTTTAATCATTATAGCGTACAGGAGTGCACTATGAGTACTTGAAATCCAGACATTTTCTATGACTTTTATGTTCATGGCCTGTACGTGTCAATTTTTAATGTTTGATTTCTGTAAGTTTATTCCCGTGGCAGAAAATTGGTAAGTAATGGATGGGAATGCAAAGTACTTTTTTCCTTGCTTTAACAGTGGCGTTTGGGTAGTTATATAACCTAATAATAATACAAGACTTGTCTAAGCTGTTAATTGCAGGGAGGTGTTTTGCCTTTAGTGTCACAGGATCACTGTAGCCTTAATATTTATCAGGTTGGAAAGAAACATGTAGTATGAGCTTCATAGGGATTTACTGTGTTGTGACTAACACAGTGGGTTAGCTTTGACTAAAACAATTTTGGTAGGAACAGAAACCTTTTGTGAACTGTTTATATAATTTTAAACATTTTAAAAAGTTCTTTGACCATATGAAAACTATGTTTTAACCTTTAAAAGATTGGCGTTCTGGTAGCCTTTTGGCTACTTTCAGATTTCTTTTCCATTTACTTTTCCCAAGTACGTACTGTGTATTGATTGTGTTTATTTTGGTACTAGACTCTTAAGTGTTGGAGTATTTCGGGAGGGACAAATGAGGTTATGAATTGAGCATCCAGGCGGCTGTTTGTACCACCTAATTTAGCATGGTGCCCCTGTGCCAAATTCCTCCTTTTTAGGTTTCTTTCAGCAAAATTGTATTCTGACCAGGGCATCCTCCCTTTTAGGAGCTGTACAAGTTTGTGTGGCAGAAGAGTGTGTTCTGAGTGTAAATGGGATCTTTCCCTCCCTGTTCTTAGCCAGTCTTTGTGGAAGGACTTGTTCCCTCTACTGTCTGGAGGGAGAATAAATGGGCGTTTATAATTTCTTCTTTCCCTTCTGGCTGCCATTGGCAATTATGACAGATGGTGTTGGAGATATACACGTAGAAGTGTGTTACATACAGCATCTCTTTACAACATCCTTGAGCTTAGGCTGTCAAAACTTGTTAGATGTTCCTATATCATACTGCAGGCACTATGTCCAACTTCTGCTAGATACTACTTCAGTGTTTTTATACTAAGCAGCCACAAAGGCATGCAAGAGATCTTGTTCTGCATAGGGGTTTTGAGATCTAGTAACTTTGCTGTCAAATTTGTAGTGGCAGTTTCCTCATGTTTCCAAACTGCACAAGTATACAAACACAGCAGACATGATTCCCTGCACTAATAAATAGGACATCAGGGACTGTAAACTGAAGCATTTTTGAAGAGTGCAGCCATCAAGAGTTTTATTTGTCAAGAAGTCCTAGCTTTTTTTTTCCAGTTGTCCACTCAGCCATAACTGCTTTTTCCTAATGTTTATTATTTGTTCTGTAGTTAGTAAAATACATACCATCTCTCTCTGATGCCTCCATTTCAGCTGTGCTATGCAAGTTAGGGAGGACACTCTGCCATCTGTCCTGTTGGCCTCACTCTGAAAGAGTTAAGACCCTTGTTCCTGAGTGCTCATTTGCTGTAGAGAGATTTTTATATATTTTTTTTTTCCCCCCCCTCTCAAGAAGAAAATGTTCTACTGGACTGATTATCGTCATGCAGTTAACTTGTCTTGTCATATTACCTGCCTGATTTGATTATTGAAAATCTTTAAGGATTTGCCAAGCTTCACCTTATACTTGTTGTAGTGCAGCCTGGATCTGATGACCTTGGTCTTTGATTTGATAGCAAACTTGAGTTTGTTCCTTTAAAAAAGGGCTTTCTTGATAACCCTAGTATTTGCAAGAAAGTTAAATCCAGGCACTGTTTTCAAATTATTTTCCTCTTTAGAGTTGCCTTGGTTTCTACCCAAGATTTTAATGGAATTTGGTAACTATATGCTAGTGTGAAACCAGCAGGTTACCTGTTAGTACTTTTCCCTGATTGTTTTGCGTGGGATTTGGGACATCTTTGCATGTTATGTGAGAATAGTTCCATCATTTACCTTGCACAGAAGTGCCCTACTACTTGCATAGCTGTCATGGGAGCTTTTGGAGAGAAAACATTTTTGGTTTTGGAGAGAAAATGTTGATAGTTTTTTAGTAATGTGTCTGGAAGGTTCTGGAGAGCTTCTTCCAAGTGATACAATCCTGGAGCCCCACTGTGGAACACCCGTGGGGATGAGCACTCCAAGAAGCAGGCCACCAATCAGTGGAGTTCAGATTTTGCTTCAACACAACATTCCCTTTGTCATGTCTTTGCTATCTCTGTTGAAGTTCTTTGAGCTTTGGGACTGAGAAATGTACCTCACACTTAGCTCCTCATGAGAATACTGGGAAGCACAAGGTAAATGAATGGTGTAGGGCTGCTATGCATTCCAGAGTTGATTGCTTGTGTTAAGGTGAAAATTCATCCAGAGGAATTCCATTTAATGACAAATAACTCTTGATTTGGTAAATACTTTGAAATTCTATGCTTTATTTGGGAACACTTGTATTATCAGCATGCAAATCTCAGAATTTTATGCAGACAGCTGCTAGAGGATTGTTGTACTAAACATGTTTCCAATTAAATACAAAAATAAAAATAATAAACCATGAACTTTGACAAATTAGAAACTGCTCAGAATTGTTCATTTTTGAAGAAAAAAATAACTTTATTATTCATGGTGAAATCAGAGTTCAAGGTTTTGCAATTTTACACATGATGAATGTTCACGATTTATGTAAATTATCTTAAATGTTTGAAAATTGGTATTGTGAAAGATGTTTATGTCAGTTTGAAAACCGTGATGTATATTACATATTGTTTAACAGTATTTAAATTTATGTAGGTTCCTCTAAAGAAGGAGGAGCTGGAGCCGTGGATGAGGATGATTTTATTAAGGCATTTACAGATGTTCCTACTGTACAGGTAAGATTCTGTGTATACACGTATTTGTCTTCAGAAATACACTATTTGTAATACTTTGTGTTAGCCTACTTAGAAAACCTCTTTCATTTTACAGTCTTCCAAGCGAGTGTCATTACTTTTCCTTCTTTCTGAATTTACAGACTCCACGGAAAGCTCTTTACTTTTTCCAGTTACAAAAAAACCCCACCTTTTCTTTACTGTCCTACTTATTATTATCACATTGTGTTTCAGCTAAAATCCACTATTGCTTTTCTTAATCTTTTCCAGGGAGCTACTGAAAATAATTGTATGTTTTAATTTTAATAGAAAAATATTTCCATAATGTCTGGAAAATCTAGGACTGCAATTTCATGGGATAATCAAGTACTAATAATACAGGCAAATTATTGAAAAAACCCCAAGAATTGTTTTTTCACATGTGTCTGAATTGTAATGATGGTTTCTAGCATGCATGTCCTCATCTGTAGCAATACTTAAAAAAAAAAAAAATCTGGTGTCTTATTTGAATACTAATGAACCTGTTGGATTCTGAGTTCTTAGTTGAAAGATCATTAAAAAATTTCTGTTCTTTAAGTGTGGGAATTGCACATACTTGCTACTTTCACACAGTTGAGTCATTTAACATGCTTGTATCTTCCTAGACCTATTTTGAATAAGTTTTCCTTGAGCAGCTGAGGTGTGGAAGGCAACCAGAGACTCAGTCAGCCATAGTTCCCAAATACCAGAAGGATTTTGTCTAGCTCTCTCTTCTTGATATGTACTTTTGTTCTATTTTTATTTCCCGAGATGATAGTGCAGTTATTTGTTAGATCTCCTCCTGTAGGCAGAAATACTGTCTGCTTTTATGAAGGACCATTTTATCTCCATGGTTTCTGTCACATTGAAGAAATCTTTGTCTAACACTGTAAGAGCTTTGTTTCTCTGCCTCTTCAAACTGTGTTAAGGAATTCTTTAGAGGGCAAAGCCATGGAGCTCTTAATATTTATCCCCATTATGTTGAACAGAGCTGTATTCCACAGCACAGAAAATATGCTGCCTGTAGTTCAATGCCTTAATATTTGCAGTCCCAAGCAGCATACTGTAATTGCTCAAGTTGGTTAATAACATTACATGAACAAAAGTGGGGTAACTCTATGTTGTTGATGAGCACATGTGATTTTCTGTCTGATTGCTGGATCACCTAGGAACGTAGGTCATTCCTAAACTGCAGGAGGTGGAGGAGAAACACCCACTTGTCTTTACTAATCTCACCTGAGTTGAGGTGAGGACACAGGGGAGAAATGTTTAACTAGCCTCAATATAACCTATTTGTTTCATGGATGTGAATGTAAGAAAGACGTGCTGACCAGGAAAAAAAAAAGGGTGTTTTTCTCTACCCTTAGGAATAATGACTTCCTGCTGTCTAACATCATGTCTAAGACCATGTTAATGACCAAGAGAAAAGTTTCTGTCCTAGAGCCTGTGAAGAAAGAATGTTTATGACCTGTAATTTGCCAGGTTATTCTAAAAGCAAAGGAAACTTGTTAGACAGAAGGGGGAGAGGGAGTTGTTTGTACGTTATTGGGCCCATTCCTTTGTCTTTCTGTTGTCATCACACTTGTGGGTTTTAGTACTTGCTTCAGTGAAAGTATGGAAGCGAACTATATTACGGAAAAATGGATCCAGTTCTGAATCAAGATAAGTGCATCTGGATTAAGCCAGTAAATTGAGGTTACTTATGGTGTTTGTATGTTTAACTCATTCTTAAAAGCCTCCAATGGTGCCTTTCCAGTAACCTGTTCCAATGACAGCTCATCATTAATTTTTTTTTTTTAGGAATATCATACTGTTTACTCATACCTAGTTTGTACTCCCCATGTTGGAAATACTTTCCATCTGTGTAGTTATTACACTTACTTGTGTTTGAGCTTTTAATTTTTCCGTCTTTGATGTTGCACTTACCTTTAATGATGTGTGTGTGTGTTGCCCTCTAATGGGTAACAGCAGTTTATGAAGAAGATGGGTGTGTTTGAGATCTAGTCTGATGGATCTGTGGGCCAAAAAAAAGTACTGTGGTGTGAGAAGATTGTGCCTTCATATTTAAGATTGCAACCATAATGTTTTTACAACTTTATTTGCTTTTGCTTAAATTGAAGAAAATTCTGTGTTCAGGTCGTTAGGAGTAACTCCCATTAATAGCTAGAATTTGTCTCAAAACAAATATAATTGTTTTTATAAAAACAATTCTGATGTGGGAACTTAGAGACAAAAATATGTATTATGTCATCAGCTGAACACACAATTTCATCTTGGCCTTCTAAAAGCATAATTAATCAAGGGCAGGGAGAAAAGAAATATTACCTTTTATTTGTCTGAAACTAGTATAGGTATGGACAATCTTGACAATTTGGGATTTTTCACTGGAATTAGTTTTGATTTCATGACAAGATAAAATCATGCCATTTAGTAAATTCCTCGTTATAATGCCAATTGGAATAGCAGAAATTGTGTAGATCCACTTCTGTTTGTGCCAGGTAATTAAAGAAAAATTGATTTCTTTGCCTAGGCATGCAAGTAAGGCAGACATAAACCCATTGTACATATTACTTCTGTGCTTGTCTGTTGCTTAGCATGTTTTAATCCTGTGGCAGCAACTATAGCACGTGGTCTATGATAACACATAGCTGACAACAAAAAATGTCCTATTTTTGAGAACCCACTCAATGAGACAGCTTACAAAAGGTATTTGTGCCTTAACCAGAGCCTCAGACGAAGTTTCAAGTGTGCACCAAACACATCTCAACTGCCACCAAAAGGTGTGATCCTGCCTCCATTGTTATTGCACTTCTTTGTGATAAGTTGGCATAGGCTGCTGTGTTGGCAGAGAAATTTTTGCCTTTCCTCTTGTAGGGTTAGCTTTTTCTATGTTAAAACCCTGAATTGGGATGGAGACAGGGCAAGGTGGGTGGTGGTAAAGGAGGGAGAGCCTGAGGAGGTCGCAAATCGTGTCACAAATTCTGACGGCTTTAGGGTCACCGTAATGTGGAATTTCATCGTTAGTTAACCAGTGACTACTCCCTTCCACTTTTAAATGGAAAATAAAAATTTTCTTTGATAATGGAAATTTAATTTGATAAGACGACTTAATAGTATGGTACCGATAAAATTAGTGTATGTGTAAATGTCATGTAACAAGTATTATACACTACCAGTATACACAAGTATATTAAGTGGTGATGTAAAACTCGTGTTCGGTTTTGTGGGCAGTGGAGTAGAAAGTCTGTTACACTTGGACCCACTGTTTTCATTAAATCATATACTCTTTTAAAATAAGTTATGCATCAGATGTTTATTGACTTCTAAGGAGGAAGAAAACGGTAATCATGAGGAGTAGTTCTTTGGTTTTTATGGATGCAGTCGTGTCCCTTGTGCAGAACTGCAAAGCTGCTTCCACAGCATACCCTGAAAAAGCTTACACAGCTGTGTGGTAATAAAAATTTCAATTTTGTTGGTAAACCATATTCAGAAATTGTTTTCCACATGACAGTGAAGCTGGCCTGGGTGTACTAACTCATCTCGTTCTGAAGTGATTCCTACCCTGTTTATCCTACAAACCAGATATGCAGGTGTGTTAAAGTATGGATGTCTTCCACCTCCTCAGTACTCCAGCATGAAATAGAGGCCTCTATAACCATGTTCTGTTAAAGCATTGAAACAAAAGTAAATGTCAATAGAGTCAAGGTCCCATGTCTATTCTAAGTTGAATTCATTTGATATGCTCAGAAAATTGGAAAATTAGAATGTATTTGGAATAACTTCTGTAGTAACTTGAAGTTGTCCAGGAAAACGAAATATTTTCTAGAAAATATGTGTTCAGCTGAACTGTAGAACAGAAGATAGACATTCCTAAATCTTTTAACAATGAAATAAAAGATGCATATATGCATGCTGAACAGTGTGTTTAAGAGACCAGTGTCAAAGCTATTCACCAATTCATGCAAAGCAAGATGTCCTAACTATTGGTCCTTGTTTCTTCTACATGCCCTGTGCTATTGCACATAAAAAAATTACATCTTGGATTTAAATACTGAGGGAGCATCAGGCACTACTGTTTAGGTGCTGTGGAAGTTACCATGCTGGCCTCCAGCTTTCACTCTAGAAGGGTATGAGTTTCCTTAAGTCTTGAATCATATCTGCGAGCCCCGTGTGGATGTCTTGGATATGTCTCAGATGGCACGAAATGCCTGTGTATGGGCAAATCAGTTTAGGCCATTTTGTTCATGTAAACAACTTCTGATCCAAAAAATTGGAAATCTTAAGCTGAAAATATGCTTTAGAAAAAATTTTGGCCAGATCAAGTTTCTGATTAGTAACTTGCTTCATACCCTCTTCAACTTGTTCTCGATCAGGGGGAAAGGGGAACTTTTAAGTTTTGCATTATCAGTGGAAGCAGAAAAGAGCATCCTGTGTCTTATGTCAAGGAGAAGAGAAGGGAAGTCAGTTTATTTCTGATGTTAATACGTTTTCATGGCTACTTTTAAAATTTTTCTTCTTTAGAAATCCACTCTTATACATGTACAGTTATCAATAAATACATTAATTCATGTATTATCAAATAGTGACTGATGTATGACTAGATTGGTCAGGCTTCAGTTTTGTTGGAGTTGCTGTGTAGAGAATAGAGAACTCTGACTGGAGGCTGCTCCTTACATTTATTTTACTGACTGCATAAGTTAATGAATTCTAGGCTTGGAGTAGTAGTACGTATGAAGCTATTGAAAGTTTTAATTTGTTTTTTCAAACAATTTTTTAATTTTAGTGTTGACTAGCAGCCCAGTTAGGCCCTCATAGAGCCATGCACTATTGTAATGCAGAAGAGAGTCCCTGCCCCAGAAGAGTTGCATCGGGTTATAATCTGTTGGTTGAGTGTCATTGTAATAGTGGGTATAAAAATGAAATTGAATTGCAATAGTATCATAACAGATTATCTAAAACCTCTGCTTGTAGTGATTTATATATTTTTTTTAAATGGACTTAATGAAATTCTAGATCTGATTAGATCATCACAAGGGTAAGAGGTGAAATCTTGAGGACAATGTTTATTCTTCGACTTTTCTTTTAATGGATATTCACTACTCAGTGATATCCTCAAAGATTTCCTTTAAAATGCTCATTTATACCTCTTACACAGTTTTCTGGAATATTTGCTGCAAGATTTTCACAATTATAATTGTATTTTTGGTCTTCTCAAGCTATTTTCCTTCATCAGTTACCTGGGATATTAACAATATATATTTTCTGTTTTGCTAACACTTCAGATCTATTCTAGTCGAGAACTTGAAGAAACGTTGAACAAAATCAGGGAAATACTCTCAGATGACAAACATGATTGGGATCAACGAACTAATGCGGTAAACTTTTTATTTGGTTTCCAGTTTGGGTAGGTGTGTTTCATAAAGCACAGGCAGCTAGATATTTTAAAATGGTTTCTCCTAAAGCAATTACACTCCAAATAATAAAAAAAAAATTTTGTTTTAATTTTTAACCATTGAATTTCCATATACTAAATAGGTTTGAGCAAGTATTTTTAAAAGGCCGAAATACATTTTTGCTGACATTTAAGTGGAGGTTTTTCTAAAAGCCATTGTGTGTTTCAGTTGACACTTGGGCAAAATTATATATTCTGCAGGTAAACTGCTAGTGTTAGTACCTCTTATGTGTGGCTGTGATAAGTTTCACTTGCAGGATTAAAATGGTTGTGTGGACATAGCATTTCTATTTTTTATCATGTTTATGGCATCTTAGTGTTTGGAAACAGGTGTATGAACAGAATTACATATCTGTATATTTTTAGATGGAGATCTGAGACCTTTTAGCTCTAGAATTCAAGTAGTAGAATTTTTTTACAGTTCTTAAATTACTGCCATATATATCACAATGATGCTTTGCTTTAAAAACATGTCTGTGTACATTTTTGCAATCAAGTTGTTACTTATTTTGAAACGCATATTGGTAGTGTCCTAAACTAAATGCATTACATTTTTTAGCTGAAGAAAGTTCGGTCATTGCTTGTTGCTGGAGCTGCACAGTACGATGGATTTTTCCAGCATTTACGGTTGTTGGATGGCGCTTTCAAGCTGTCGGCCAAGGATCTCAGATCCCAGGTGGTTAGAGAAGCATGCATTACTGTAGCGTAAGTATAGTTTATGTGCATTTGTGTACATTGCTAGATTTTAGTATGAATTTGACTTAAAGATGCTTTATCAGTGTTGCAGGAAAGATTATCTTGGTGGACTGCTGTACGCTATGACTGATAAAGGGTCAAGTCAGCATCTGAAGCCGTAGAGAAAAAGAAACCTTTAAAGGAACTTGACTTTTTAGGTGATACATGTAGTTGATAATCCCGTAACAGATCATATGTGAAGAGCAAATTACCGTCATTACACTGAATACTTAGTGCAAGTTAATACATACTGCTTTAAGTACTACTGCAATACTGGGGGCTAGTCTTAAGAACATTTACACTTGGGTGACTGGCACAGGACTTTACTGTGACTACTTGTAATAACAAAGTGAGCTCCCCTATAGTGTTTTGAGCCCTTCTGCTTGACTATTGGATTGTCTGAGATACAATTTTAAAAGATAAAACCCAAGTGAAAGCTTCAGTAAAACATTGAACCTTTTGGCGAGGTATAATATCTTTCATGTCCATGATAATTTTAGAAGCTGTATCTGAACAGAAATAAGTTGTCCATCCTCATCATCTTGGGGACTCTCATTGAATTCAAGGAGGGGTAGAAGAAGCCTTATTTTTACACCAGAGCAGTCTTTCCCACTTCCATGTTTTCCATGGCTTTTTTTTCCTCTGGAAAGCCGTTAATGTAACCACTGATTTTCGGTGGCCGTATGGAACAGGTATGCCCCAGAGTTCACTCTTGCTGTTCTGGTCTCCTGACTGAACAGACCATGGGGAACTGTTGGAGCATAGAACTGCCCTTGCCAGGGAAATTCAGGCTTTGAGAAAATAATACTAGCCTTTCCTAACGTGAAGTCAGGACTATCATAAAAGTACTGTATAAATGTCTTCATCCTGCAGTCAAAAGGAAAAAAATCTTGAACAATAAATCTAAAATCTTACGGAAACTATATACTCTGAAAGTGTGTTTAAAAGCAGAAATACTATGATATTCTATGTGGATATGAGAATTTTAGCTTTTCAAATTGTGCTATTTGTTTTTCATTATGAAATAAAGTCTGCTAAGTAACAAAAATGTTCTGCAAATCCTGCATTTCTAATGAGGCAAGGACTTGGAAATCACAGAATTAATAATGTTTAGAAAGATAAATCTTTAAAACGTACAGTGAACTTTGTTATTTTAAGGCTAAGAAATTAATTTTTGTTAACAAGTTTTATTTCTTTTTCCTAAATAGCCATCTTTCAACTGTTTTGGGAAACAAGTTTGATCATGGCGCTGAAGCTATTGTGCCTACTCTTTTTAATCTGGTTCCCAACAGCGCCAAAGTGATGGCAACTTCTGGGTGCGCAGCCATTAGATTCATTATTCGGGTAGGTGATCCTGTCTCACTTTGCTTGCTAGGAATATTCAGTTAGTGGCTTTTAGTAGAGATAACAATTCTGAAATATAGGATTATAAATCATTCTTTCATGGAGAAGTAACTTTTCTCAGAGATGGACAAATATTTATCATTGAAAACAATCGGCAGCATTATCATTGTAAAGAGGGAGGAATAAGTATGAAAAGCAAGTCTGTTTTAATGACTTTCTTTTGTAATATGTTAATTGTAAAAAGGCAAATGTATTTCAAATGTTAAGTGTGTTTAACTGCCTTTTTGAAGAAGACAAAGAAGCTAGGAAGAATTAAAAAAAAAATAAAATATTTATTTTTACCAAAAAAACCCCATATTAAAAAAAAAAATTAGAACTGTGGAGCTACTGATAAAATGTTGAAGAGGCCGAACATACGTGGATCAATTCAGAAAGCACAAGTTCGTGGGGAAAAAAAGCCCAATATAGATTTTAATCCTGGGGTTAAGAACTTTCTAAACTGAATCCTCGAAGCTATAGTATATAGAAGAGGGGAATACTGTATTATAGCTGTTTTTTTATTGTCTGTTCCTTAAGCATCTGCTACTGACTGGTGTCTGAGGCAAGATACTTAGCTAGATTTCTGGGACTTGTACTGATATTTTTGTGTTTCAAATATAAGTGGGAGGTTGCCTGTAGTGTTTCTACATTAAAAGCTGTGGTGTTCTTAATTCCAGGCACTTACTGCTATTCAGTATGATCTCATCTGTAGTTTTAATTTTGTGAGTTGTTGGAAACCTAAGTGGTTTAATGACTCACACCTTTTGTTGCCATCTTCAGTATGTTTTGGAATCTGTACTTATTCTGTCTAACCATGCCTCTGAGAACGTGCTCTGAGACTTCTGCATTACCTTTGTGTCAGCACTTGGGCTAAGAACCATTGGCTTTTTTCCCCACGCTCTTACGGTGTACTGTGAGATGGCTAATGGCACAAAGTTGAGAGTGGAGGAAGGAATACACCTTACACAGGATTATTAAAGTTGTGAGAGAAGAATAGCATTTGCAGGTAGTATAAGAAAAGCTGAGGCGTGTAAGAAACTAACCCTGTCTTGCTGTTTACAGGAGCCAAATCAAGGACCAGAAAAGCAGCATGAAATAAAAATTCACTGATTGTATTAAATTGGCTTTATTGGTTCTGTTCGATTGGAGACAAGCCTACACAGTGGCTATAGCTGCCCTGATTTTGTTAAAAGTTATGCTATTCTTAGCTGTAATTTAACATACTAGATTGGAGGCATAGAAGCAAGAAATTCCTATCCATAGCATTCAAGTACCGATAAATGGCTTATGCAGGGTGTTCTGACAGAAAATTCAGGTTTCAGTGGAAAAAGAAAGAAAGAAATACCAGAGTAAAATGAAATGCAGTCCCACTGTCCTTTGAACTTCGATCCTTCGGATTAAATGAGACTTGGTCAGGGCATTTGTGATCAGTTAAATATTTTGAGCCCAAGCCACTACAGCTTTTGGAGTCAGCGTTTTGCTCAAAAAATCCTACCAGAGTCCACTGACAGCCAGTTCAGATCCTTGTGTTTCAGTATCTAATTGCTGTGAGTGAGTGTACGTAAAAAGAGGGAGGCTGTATTTATACGAGTGATCTTGAAGAGCTCCATCTTATCTTTGCCCCATTCTTGGATGTCTTATTTCTTCTCCAGATAGTTCTTGTACTGTAGTCTGATTTCTCTTTCTTGACTCTTAGTGAATCAGGAAACCAATAAAAAAACAAAAAGTGGGGGGAGGGTGCGCCATGGTGAGAAGGCATGATGGCAGAAAATCTTTACCAGAGGGAGGTTGGATTCAGGATGGGCAACTGAGCTGCAAGGTGGGTTGCAGGAAGCGCGTATCCCGTATTGTTAACAGCTTCCAAAGGGGTGATGGTTGAAATGTGCAATCTTGAAGCTGAACAAAAGCAAGCCTTGAGGCTTTGATTCCTTTGCAAAACACTTTCTAGAAATTACAATGTCAATAGCTCCAAAGACTTGGAACATACAGGTTTCTTCATCTGTGAAAACATTTTATTCTTTGCCCTGATACTGCTTATTGTTCCCTTTCTGGCAGTCATTTACCACTTTTCAATTTGAAAACTATGCAAAACACAGATAAAACCCCTAAAACCCTGTTTCAGAGTAGATCAGTACAAATGCAACTGTAAGGCTCTTCCAGACTTTTGGATTAATTCCCTCCTAATTCTGAAGTTGGCAGTACTCTGAGAGCTGATAATTATCTCTGTGCTTTTTTGGTAATTTGTGTGTTTATATCCCCCAACAGTAACCTAAGGAGAAAGTATGATATGTGAGATACTAAAAATTGTTCAGTATTGTACTTTTTAAGCAGGTTTTTTTAGTTTATAGGCTACAGTTTCACACTGTATTGGGGACTGTTTCAGAAGTTATGTGTTTAATCAAGAAAGGAATAAAGAAATGAACTGAAAATGGATTTGGTGAACCATGTTACTCTTACTTGGAATTAAAATGTTAATACCTTGTGTCTGCAATTAGTTAAGATAAGCTGAAGTAAGGCTGCTTTAATTCTGAATTAAAGTATTGCATTTGGATTCACTGTAGTTTATCTTATCCACTTTGAATGGTAGTTCAAGGGTTTTCTTTCCTGTGAGGATGTTAGGTGTTTCCATATAGATTATATACACGTGCTTGCTTATATTACATGTCATTCTTTTATTATTTTATTGACATATTTTGCATTAAAAGGAATTTGGTCTTTGTAGCACTAATCGTATTGATTGATCCCTAAAAGAATGTCTATAGTTTCAGATTGATTGATTTTCTTTTTGCTCTGTAGCTGTTCTTTTTAAGACTATGTCTATTGCTTTTTTTCTGTGGCAAAACTGAAGTAACATCAGCTTACAGCTCCTTCTAGGAGACCCATTTGCGCCTTCATATATGACTTCTGACAGCTAAATACTGCATATCATGATGTGATTGTTGATGGCATTGGAAGTGCTTTTTGCTTGACATTTCAGAAAAAAATAGGTTTGATCAATTCACGTGCTAGCAGCAGTCTCTCATTTAACACTATTCTACATTTAGTTTCAGTAAGCATTTTAAATGATTGCGATTTTTGTTATGTTGCTAATTCTGTTTGACTTAATTTGTACAGTACAAATTCAGGAATGCTTTTATCATTAACTGCTTTGTCTTTTTTTTTTTCTTCAGCATACCCATGTGCCACGACTCATACCTTTAATAACAAGCAACTGTACTTCAAAATCTGTTGCAGTTAGGAGGTAAGTACCTGGTAAATAGCAAATAATTAAAGCTGTTGCTTTTTTAAATACGATGATCACATGTTGAAAGTAAACAGACTTGAAGATTTATGGCCATTAACTCTGAATAAACAAAACTGTTATCCGGTAAACTACAAAAATGAATTTCAGCAAAGTTACATCGGATGATGTTGAGGAATGGTACTTTCTGCCATATTGGGGGACATACACTGTATCCTTCTGCAGAATTTATTCTCATTTAAAATGTTCCTAACACTTGTTCAAAAAGTACCTTCTGATTTAAAAACAGAAGGGGGGGAAAAAAAAAGCTGTAGTTGAATCTGAGTCTGAGAATAAACAACACAGGTGTTGAGAGGCATTGGGAGAGCATGAAACAGATAAGAACATCTTTGCGAAGAACCAGCCTGAGCCTATTAGTTACTGTTAGGGCCAGACTTGACAGGCCTAGTGAAGTTAGCTTTTGTGAAAGCACTGTAGCCTACTGCATGCAGCGTGTGCACCTTGCTCTCCTGATGTCAGGAGAACTTCATAACTTTTGTGCAATGCAGTTTGAATGCAGCTTGATCGTGTGGAGCTAGGCTATCTGATACTGTGCCCAAAATAATAAACCTACCACGCTGGGAACTGGGGGCTTGAGACTGTGGCTGCTACCTTAGATAGGACGTGGTGGATCAATGTGTTGTCATGTTTAACAACTGAGGTGCATCTTCAGCATGTTGCTTTTCCCAAGAACATGATACTTGAACATTTGGGTTGGCTCTTGACAAAACTAATTGGTTTCTGGCAGAGTGTCATTTTCTGCACAGAATCTCACAAAAGCAGTTAAGGCTGTTTCTGGACCCACAGTAGCCCTGAAAGCGATATAGCCATGTGTATGCAAGAAACAGCTTGAGTATCTACACTGTTTGCTCTGAATCTAAGCTATCTTTGCATCCAAAGCAAGTATATCTCAACCCAGATTATACTGACCTGTCGTAACGTCTGGTTGGACTGAAAAACAATTCACAGGGCTTCAGTGCCTCTGTTTACCATGGCTTTGCTAGACTGTAGGTGGCTTTGGTACTGCAGTTTACAATCCAATGAGCATCAGTGAAGGTGGCCAACATTCCATTGTTTTCATACTGACTTAATTCCTTTGGAAAAGGCAAAAGGAAACTAAACCAGTTATCTAGTGAAAAGCCTTTCAGGGTTTCTTGCCATGTCTTGTAGGTGTCCACAGGATTTGGGCAGAATAAAAATAAAATCTGCCCTTCCAGAACAGGTCAGAGATGCAAAATAACCAGAAAAAGTACTAATTCCAGACAGTAGAGTCCGCTACCTTTTTGAAGACTCGTTATCTCCACCTTCCTAACCTGCATTGTTTTGATTTATTCACCGGGAACTAGCTTCAGACACATTTTAAAGTATGCCTTTTGCTAATGGCTGTCTGTTAAATTGTCAAAAATTCTGAATTAATAATGAATAAGGTTACATAACTGAGTTTGTAGAGTGCCAACGAATCTTTAGTAGTGTCATGGTTTAACCCTGGCTGGCAGCTAAGGACCACACAGCCGCTTGCTCACTCCCCTCTGGCGGGATGGGGGAGAGAATCAGAAGAGTAAAAGAGAGAAAACTCATGGGTTGAGATAAAGACAGTTTAATAGGTAAAGGAAAAGCCACACATGGAAGAAAAGCAAAACAAGGAATTCATTCACTACTTCCCATCAGCCAGGCAGGTGTTCTGCCATCCCCGGGAAAGCCCAGCTCCAGCATGTGTAACAGTTACTTGGGAAGACGAAAGCCATCACTCCAAACATCCCCCCCTTTCTCCTACTTCCCCCAGCTTCATATGGTGTGGAATATCCCTTTGGTCATTTGCGGTCAGCTGTCCCAGCCGTGCCCCCTCCCAGCTTCTTGTGCACCCCCAGCCCACTTGCTGGTAGGGTGGGGTGAGAAGCAGAAAAGGCCTTGACTCTGTGTAAGGACTGCACAGCAGTAACGAAACCATCCCTGTGTTAGCATCACTGTTTTCAGCACAAATCCAAAACGTAGCGCTGTACTAGCTACTATGAAGAAAATGAACTCTGTCCCAGCCCAAACCAGCACAGAGTGCTTTCTAAATGTAGGGCCCTGTACTAATGGTCTCATGTTCTCCATTATCATACATTCTCAGTAATGACAGATGGAATGGATGGGAATAGTGTTTGGGCAGAAGTACAGTGCCATAGAAGCATTGTGTTGTGACTTAATAGCTGAATTTTTGAAGTATTGATTTTTTTTTTAAATATTAACTTTTTATAGTTTATACAATTTTTAAACTTTGTTGATTTTTTTTGTCTATTATTTTGGGGCTAATAAAACTAACATAGCATATGTGTAATAACATGACAGATGGTTAATTGAAACACATATTTTTTGTTGACGTGTCAGATTAGTTAGCCTGCATGTTCGCTTTCTATACAGAATATTTTAACTTTGCAATAAAGCGGCCAATGTCCTTATTTGACAGATAAACATACTCTTATTTTATGTATTTGTTCCCCTTAGGGGGAAAGAATAAAGTTACTGTTTATTCTGCAAGCACATTAGAGAAATGAGTATTAATTATAACCTTTTGTTCTGTCTTTTTAGGCGCTCCTTTGAATTTTTAGACCTGTTGTTACAAGAGTGGCAGACACATTCGTTGGAAAGGTATGGGCCAGTATACTTTTTCCCCAAGAATAAACTGCTATGATATTTTAAGACAGAAATATTTTCATTAATGCTTTAATTGGATTATGTTGTTCAGCGTTGGCCAACCTTTCTAGCATAGACAACCTTTCTAGCGCAGCAGATTGTGTGGCTCATTCAAGTGCCAGGGAGAAGGAGGGCTGTATGCTCCAGCCTTGAATTGTGTCACCTCCTCTCCTTACCCTCTGCCTCTTCTCCTGTACCGCATGTGAGCAATGCGTACCATGCTTTCTCAGTTTCACTTATGTCGTGTGTCCTGTGCAGCGAAGGTGCACAGGGAAGTGTCTGATTAAGAGCACACTGTAGCTTCTCTGGGTAGATAGGAAAGCAGTACATGCGTCAGCTCTGCAGAATGTGTGTTGTAAGCGCAGAGTTAAGAGCAAAGGGATTGCAGGGCCTCCAGAGAAGGCTCTGCAGAGCTCACCCGGCTCCATAGTCACCTTTCAACCCCTTAAGGTGCTCCTGAGAAAGGGAGCAATGGGGACATCACTTGATTTATGTCAGCATGTGCATTCTAGAACCAAACAAAATGCTGCCACCATCCCCCCCACCCTCCCATCCCCCCCAAAAAACCCCAAACCAAAACCCCAAACGTGTCTTGAATTAAAATCTGTGTATCATCACAATTTTTGGTTGTTCTGATGGGCACTTTGCTGTTCTTTGAGCATGTGTTGAGGTTTAGAACTCAAATGCAAAAAGCTTTCAGAAGTTAATTTCCAGGAAAACAAACTTCTTGATCTTAATGTCTTCATTTTTCTTACTATTAATATAGTAGGGGAAAAAGCTTTTCCATTTCAGGAAAGTAGGTGTCTTTAAAATGGTAATTTTAAATAATGTTTAAGTGTGATAGGTGGATGTATGTCTAAAAAGTAGATTTTAATTCTTTCACTTTGAAGAAGGAAGCTTACTTGTACCTTTACAGAACGTGCAATTATGTCATTAGTGTGCTTAAGGGTTTGTTTGCTTCATATCTTAGAACTACTATCTCAGCTGTTTTTCACTTAAAGAAAGGTTAATTAAAGTGTAAAACTTAGCTACTTAAAATAGAATTTGGAGTAGCAAAATAGCATGAAAAATGTCTTTCTTCTAGGCATGCAGCTGTCTTGGTTGAAACAATCAAGAAGGGCATTCATGATGCTGATGCAGAAGCAAGAGTGGAGGCAAGAAAGTGAGTTTTGGCTATGTTTTGCTCTGAAAAATTGTATGTTTTACATGAGTGATAGAAGGCTCTACTTGGAGGTGAGCAGATAACTATGGCTGAAGAAGAGGACACAAGTTAGGCTGAGAATTGATGTTTCTGTTCTCGGAGTCCTGAATGAATACCTAGTTTCTTTTCCAAAAGACATTCTGAAAGATGAGGCAATTAATAGTGTCGTGCAGCATTTGAGGATTCTACTGCAACAGCGGTCATAAAGGTTGATATTGCTGCATAATTATTCTTCCCCCCACCCCCCTTAAGTTACTAAATGACTGCAGCGCTTTTGACTAGTGAGTAGGCCAGAAAAGAATTTCTTCTACTTCCCCACAGAATTGGTAAGTGAATGTGAGAATTTCAGAGGATAGACTAGGTTATTTTGAAAATATTAATTCAGTCAATGCAGCTGGTGTCTTTTATGGATATATGAGCAGGATTGTATGCATTACGTATTTTCAGGCTGAGTTTCTTTCTCTCCCATCCCTGGTTCATTCTGTAATCTTTATTTCCTGACTCCACACTTTGAAGAAAACACAGAGCAATTACGTGTGGTTATTCTCATATTTTGCAGGGCTTATCTGGGTCTTAGAAATCACTTTCCTAGTGAAGCTGAGACTCTCTACAATTCTCTTGAGCCACCCTATCAAAGAAGCCTCCAGACCTACTTGAAGAATTCTGGCAGTATAGCATCTCTCCCTCAGTCAGACAGGTCATCCTCCAGCTCACAGGAGAGCCTCAAGTAAGAGTCACTTAACTGTTTCTGAACCTATAAACAAATAAAAAGTGTTTCTCAAAAGCAAATGAGCCAGATTTCTGTGGTGTACAAAAAAGCTGCAGTTGTATTTTATCACTTTTTTAAATAAAAAAATCTTGTATTACGTTTTGCCATACTGCCATTATTACCCCAACAAGGTGAAAAAAAGGGCAGTCATTAACTGGATTTTAGCAGGCTGTTCTTATTCATATATTTATTCCTTAGCAGCCTCTGTTACACCAAAATATCTTCAAGGTTCACATCTTGAAGTCCAGTATTCTGGTGCCGTGAATAAGTCTAGGAAAGAAATAATGATGTTAATCCTTTTTTATTCCTTTCACTGGGAAGTATGAGAGAGACATCAACAGATTCATTCAGATTGGAGATTGGTATTTTCATGTCTTCATGGTATTGAATATGTATTTGCAGTATTTTGCAGCTATGCTAATTACTAGAGGGTGGGTCAGTCCTGCAGTCAGTGGTGTATTAAAATGTATAGATAGTCTTGAGCTGAATAACGTTTGCTTAGGTACCAATAGCAAAAGAAATCTACTGGCTTTTTAGTGGAAATGTAACATGTAGTAGTACATGGTGATTTTTTCCTTTAACTTCTAGAAAGCTTCCTCAAAGTATTTAAACCTGTTAAGATTTCAGTTCAGGTGCTTTACTTCTGAAGCCAGAGAACTTGTCTGTTCACTTTTGACTTGAAAGCAAAGACTGCTTCCAGCATATTGGAAGTTCATTTTTTTCCCCTCTTTTTTTCAGCTACTGCCTTAAATACCAGAGGCTTTCCCTTTTCTTTGTGAAATCTTATCTTCCCTGTAATACTTGTAATTACAAAAACATATAAAAAAGAATTGTCTGTAGTGTAGGCTATTGCTAACACTTCATTTTCCACAAACAAATGTTTATTCAAAGATTAATTACTCTTGTTTGGATTAATCTATATTCCTTGTCTAAAAATCAAAGTGCTGTTAATGAGTTACTAGTAATGAAATGTTAAAAATTAAATTACGGAGAAATTCGAAACTTAAAATACTCTTAAATCCTCAAGTGTTACTTCCTGTATTGCAAGATACATAAGTACTACAATACAGAAAGGGAGAAGTAAAGAAAGACAAGAACAGAAGAGATCATGATATTGGAAATTAATTACTTTTTAATTGATTTTTCACTAATTTTGCATTTAGATGTATGCTGTTTTCCCTGTGTTACCCAAAATTATATTTCTGACTTCTAATACAGATGCTGAATTTTTCCTTTGTAAGCTTAGGAAATATGGGTATGGTTTCCCTAAATGTCTGATCCTCCGTGATTTTTGACGCTTGGAACTTATAGCTCTTACGGATCATTGATCAAAACTGGTTTTAAGGAGGATGGTGGAAAGAGAGAAATGTGGTAACTTGTGCCTGCCTGTATGAAACAGCTTAAATGAAACTTCAATCACAATAGATTGTGCAAGTGCTGAAATGGTAACAATAGTCTAGGCCTTCTGTTTGGAGCAACTTGTAAGGTCAGGATGTACCCAGGAGCTCTGTCTGGGTCTCCTCAGTTTACTTGCAGCAAAATACCTCCAAAACACTAGTTAGTAATGTCAGACAAGCAGGTATTATTCTTAATAAGCTGCAAATACATAATCTTCTGTGAAGAGTTAGGTAACAGTGCTGACCTCTGAATTATTGTTGAGCACCTGAACTGATAACTCGGATAAATACACAATATTATGCATCTCTTTTTCTCTCTGCTTTTTGGTTTAAAATTAGAGAGGGATTATTTTTACTAAAGCTGAGACTCTAGACTAAAGCTGTAATTTGACTATTGAAGCAAGTCAACTATTTCAGCAAATACAAACCTTCCCAGTCAGATAAATATTTAGAGGGCTAGATATGAATCAATGAGTAAAGTATCATATTTTCTTCCACTAGTCTTTTGCTTTTCCCTGGTCCCTCTGACTGCATTTTACACTTCCGAACAAGGCAGAAGAAAGGGCTCAGAGTTAAACTTGAGTGAACAGAAAAAGATTTTGCTTCAGCCACTATCATTTTTGCAGTAAGAATAAATGGGAATGGAAGCAAAACAGAGGAGAAAGACATGGGATTTTTCTTTTATAAATTGTGGGAACCTCTGGCATTCAAACAGGGGAAATTCAGTCTAGCTGCTTGGAAGTTCCAACATTTTCCTTTCTAATTTTTAACTCGATTCTTGGGAGATACAGGCCTGGAGGAGACTTATGAATTGTACACCTGTTTTCCTTGTCGCTACAGACACCATGTAATTTCCTTCATAAATCAAACTTTTCATGTAGCTCCCGCAATTTTTGTTTTATGGCTGATTTAGAAGATCAGCCCTGTGGTTAAAACCTTGTACCGACCACCTTAAATGTTTCTGTGACCAAGTCTGGAATGCCTGAACTTTGTGCTAGCAAAGCATGCATATTGGTAACACAAGGATTAATGCTTTGTGATGAAGATGTAATTTTATAAAATTCAAATATTAGATGATTATGTTTTCCTTATCATTCTGCATTCAATGTGTTTATCTAAACTATGCTGAGAAAGCTGAAGGGAAGAAAAGAACAGAGGATTTTTCTTTTTTTTTCCATTCTCTGTTGCTGCCTTTTGAATCTGGTACATGAGACTTACTTACTGGGTTTATTGACTTTTTTTTTATTTTCAGTCGGCCTCTATCTTCTAAATGGTCTGCAGCCAGCCCAGCAAGCCTTGCAGGCAGAGGTAAGGTGGTTGCTATATATTGCAGTGCACAATAATTATTCTTCATGTTCTTTGAATTAAAGGTTTTAAATGCAGCTTAAAATCTTACTGTCTTCAGCATTTACCCTTTTTCCAAGTTGAATAATGGTATGTGTCACTACAAACTGCACCTGGAGCTAAGACTGCCTCATACTTGCTTCACATTTCATGTATTTTCATTTGTTGCAAGTGTAAGACATAATTTGCAATGTATTGGTACTATTAATTGATCATCTGTCTTGGAGTTTTGTCATGGAACAGTCACTCTTGAAGAAGCAAAACATTATTCTGTGGTTTATTTATGATTATTAGGCTTATGGCAATTGGAAATAAAGGACTTGTACCTTTCATCTATTCCCATGTAGCTGCTGCTCTTTATAAAAAAGAAGAAACAAACCCACATATTTGTAATTCAAAGGGTTTAATTTTGTCTTGAGTTTTTAGAATTTAATATCTTTGATGTTTTTTCACATAATGTGTTTATACCTCCTGTGAAGTAAATCATTGAACTCCTTTTTACAAATAGCCAGTAGTTGAGAGTGCTTGTTTTCTGGATACCGAAACTGTTAAGGAGGAGTCAAGTTTTGAAGACACAAACCAATGGTTAAAATTAATTGAAGTGAATATTTAATATTCAGTAAATAATAGGAGGTGAATATAAAAATACTTTACAGAAGATTAGACCCTAAAGCAATTCAAGGTACGTATTCAGCTTGCCTGTGGCTTTATCTTAGCTGAAGTGTGGAAGTATTATCTTCCCTCAGTATCACAAGGGGTGCTGTGAATTTCCTTACGTTTGTGAAGCATTCAGTAATGTAGTAAATCACATAAATGTTCAGAATTTGTACTAGGGTGGGAGCACATCATTTGTATTAAATAATGGTAAAATTTCATGCTGAATGAAGATAAATACTACTGTAAAATACACTGTTCCTTGTCTGAATTTGATGGCAACACCAGGTCTAATTTGCTTCTTAACATCAATAATACTTTGTTTAACATTAACTTGACTTACACCAATTTACGTAGTTTTCTGTACTTCTTGCAGGTGTGCTGCAGCTTTCAAACATAATTAATTGTATGCATTATGATCTAATTTCCTAATTTTTTTTTTTTTTTTTTTTTTTTTTTTTTTTTTTTTTTGGGAGGCACCAAGAGGGTTCAACCCCC